TGGGGCCCCGGGGCCCTGGCTGTTGCGGGGCGCTGGCTGTGCAGAGGGCGCTGCGCCTGGGACGACGCCAGGCGTGTGCATTGGACACACCAGCCTCACGTATGTGCATCTGTGGTACATGTGTGTGTGACCCGCCACGCGCCTCTGAGAGCTGGACGTTTTAAGACTCAAAATGCTTTGGCTTCGAGAACCTGCCCTCGGAGGAGGGGCCCGAAGTCGGGGACGGTCCCAGGCCCGCGCCCGGCTCGTCCCCTCCCGGCACGCCCCTCCGGAGGCGGCCCGCCCCCTGGTCCCGCCTCGCGCGCGCTCCGGAGCCGGAGGAGCCACGTCGGCGAGGAATCCGCGCTCCTCGGGGCGGAGCGAGCGCGTGCGGGGGTTTCGGTGGCTTCGCTCCCGGCCCGGTTGTGGCTGGGCGGCGGCGGGCGTTCTCACGGAGCTGGGCTTGGCTGCCATCCCCAAGCTGCCCCGTGTGAGCCCGGCCCTGCCCCAACCCGAGGGGGGCGGAAGCAGAGAGAAGGGGGGGAGAGCGGGGGTGGGCGTGGAAAGAAAAGATTTTGAAACTTTGTACGGGGCATAGGGAACTCTGTTGTATCTTCACTATAATTCTGTTAACGTAAATCTGTTCTAAAACAAAAAGGTTATTCAGAAAAAAAGTAAGTAAAAGAAACAAAAAACCCTGCCTCTTGCTCCCCGGCCAGAATATATTTTGAAGGATCATAATCCTATGCCATGCATTCCCCCACCCTCCACAACCACCAACAGCCTTTCCATTCTGAACCCCCAACTTTTTATACCTTGAAGTTATAGATATTCACGCCAAGTAAATAACTCTTGAAAATCTTCCCACAGCTCTTGAAATTAAATACTCTATGCCATGTGGACTAAGTTAACTTGGGCAAGGGGTTTAGTGTTTCCTCGCTGGGAAGGATAAGCTTACATTCCTATACGCACTCTATGAATTGAATCTCGAGTGGAAATAGTGATCCTTGGTCTTTATTGGTCACTACCCGATTTGAAGCCATTGACAACAATTTTGCCCGAGCTAATTTGCTGGTGTGTGATTTTTGAGGCTCCTGAGCCATGAAATTGTTTGCACCTTATTTTCTCCTGTGTCAGACAGAGTAAAACTGCATCCACTGTTCAACCTCAATGATTCACTTTGAGGCTGTACTTGAATCAGGTTAGTTCTATTACCAAACCATTTCCCTTGGTTAGAGAGGCACATTTTCTCCCTCAACCAGTATTAGATCTGCTCACTGTAGATTAAGATATTGGCTTTTTTTTTTTTTTTTTGGTATTCCTAAGTCTCCCAAGAATGTAAGCCTTGACTAATGTTTGTCTTCCCAACAAATTTGGTTTGGGGTCAGTAAGGCAGCCTTTTGGTTTGGGGTCAGTAAGGCAGCCTTAGTCCTTTTGGGCTTCAATATTATAGACTGGATGGCTCATAAAGAACAAATTTATTTCTGACAGTTTGGGACCCTGGGAAGTCCAAGATCAAGGTGCCAGCAGCTTTGGTGTCTGGTGAGTACCTGCTCCCTGGTTCACAGACAAGCATGGTCTTCTAGCTCTGTCTTCACACATGCTGGAAGGATGGTGAGAGCTCTGTGTAATATTTTTATAAAGACACTGTTTTTATAAAATCTCACTTATGGAGGCTCCGCCCCCATGACCTAGTCACCTGTCCCTGCCTCCTAATACCATCACCTTGTGGGTTAGGATTTCAACATATTGATTGTGTGGACGTACACAAACATTTGGTCTATAGCAAAGGCCGAGGGCCAAGCTCTGGACTGTAGTGAATTTTCAAGGAGACTTATTTGTGTATATTCTACCGTGTTAACTACTACAAGGGTATTTTTATTTTAAACTTTAAAATGTGTGAGAATTTAGTGACTCAATCTCACATAATCAGCTACAGTCACAACAGGGCATCAGTATGTTTTAGTACATTGATGATTTTAGTATGTTTTTATATTTGTAAATTTAGTACATTTATACGCCTTACTGTAATGTTTAAATTCTCATTTGCACATATTCATAACACAATGAAGGTATACTAGTATTAGTGCATATTGAAAGTTCATAGTACACTTGGAACTGCATTCCATTCAGATAACTTGACTGAAAGTAACATTTGAAGAAGTAAAAAAGACTTGATGACAAGATTTGACAGTGACAGACTTATCTGGTAAATTTTCTTTCCACTGGCATCTAAAATGTTTGAAATGGATATTTTAATTGATTAAATTGAAAGCATTTACTGAGTACTTACTAAATGTCAAGGATTCTACTAGATGTTGGAGAGATAGACATTTAAATAGACATAATCCCCATCCCACAGTGAAATAGTGGTTAAACAGATCTCCAAACAAGTAATCTATATATAAAAGGCTAATATGCAAAGTGTCCCCTCGGGAGTTTGACCAGGAGACCAGGAGTTCGATCACTCGCTATGACGCGTGCTGACCACCAGGGGGCAGTGCAGAACATGGCAGGTGACTAGTGGTGGCAGTGGGGTGCTGAGGGAGCGAGGGAAGTAGGAGACAGGGAGGTGGGGGAACTGCGTGGTGGCAGCATGTGGATGGTGAGGGAAGGAGGAGGCGGGGAGGCAGGGAACCTGATTGGCCCTGATCGCTGGCCAGGCCTAGGGACCCTACCTGTGCACAAATTTCATGCACTGGGCCTCTAGTTATAGTATATCAAATATACACGATAATTGAGGGTTGTGTGAGATGAATAGAAACAAGCAGTGGGAGCATATAACTTTGGCAAGAAATGCTTCATTAAATTTGTGGCATTTAGAAAGAGTCTTGAAGAATAAGTTGAAATTTGCCAGGACATAAGCAGTATCTAGTCATCCATGGTATGGAACTGCAGCTGCACTGCATTCAGTTACTAAAGGTAAAAGTTGGAATGGAATTTAGAAATAGTAGTAGATCCGACTCCTGAGGTACTAGCTTATTAAGGAAATGTAACCCTACAGCAGAATCTAACAAAAGACTGAAAAGTTGTTTGCTGTCTCAGCTTCCCAGTATGGATCTTACTCAAACCATGATCACTAAAATAATTGATAAGAAAATGGAGGGGAGACAGGGAAGAGGCAAGGAAGGAACTTATCTCAGCAGAGTTGAAGTCTTCAGATGGTAATTGAAAAATGGGATGAATGTGGCAGATATTGATGGTGTTGAAACAAAGGTGTTCATACAGTGCAATCAAAGTTGGTTGGAACAAAGGGACTCCCTGATAGTCCCCCAATGTTAAAAGGCCCTAAACAGATCTGCTTCATGTACCCCAGTCTGGGGGAATTTAAGAAGCCAAAAGCATAGATTATGATGAGAAACCCTACCCTGAATTGCCTATGGGTGATGGTTAGGTAAATTAATCATGGTAAAGATTAATCATGGTAAATGGCCAGGTTCTTTTGGCCCAACCCCTGAGGACATAGGCACTCTGTGTGCTGGGCATTGATTGGTTGGTAATGACACCAGTTAAGTCAAGAGGTCAGACTGGCTGTACTAGACTAACCAGAATGGAGCAATGATGCTACCCTGGCAGAAGCCGGAGTTTTCACCTTCCAAAAATCCATGAAATCAAACACAATTCTAGGTCCTGTGGAAAAGTGAATATATGGTTTTGGTGTCCTCCCACCAAGGGTTAGGAGCCTTTTCCTACTTCCAATTTCCCTTTCTTTTCTCTCAGATATCAAGAGCCCCCCTTCCTACTGTCCTCTACCCTCCAGAATCCCCTACTGCATACCCCACAGTTCTGTCTTCTTGCCCCAGTTTAAATTTCCATGTGTCCAAATAGCCTATTGGTAATTG